TATTCTTCATTTTAATGTGTAAAAATAATTAATAAAGGGAAATTTTGTTTGTTCTTAAATTTTACTTATTTTCAAAAATTATTATAATTGTTTTATTTATTTATATTATTTAAGAAATTATTATTTGTCTTTTGTCTTTAATTCTAATTGGATTTTTGATAAAATTGAAAATTTTTTTAATTAATGTGAAAGTTACTTGAACTGTTTCTTTTTAAATTTGCAATATTTTTCTAAACACCATGTGAAAGAGCGATGCCTGAGCAATAAGAAATGTCCATTGACAAATTTTTTAAAATGCATTTTAACGTGTAAAAATAATATCGAACTTCAAGTATTGTCCATCTTATCCTTGAAGTTTGAAGCGTTTTTCTGAAACTTGTTGTTTTTGAAGTCCGTGTACGTCATAACTCAAAATCTACTGGACCAATCGTTCTGAAATTTTGTACAATACTATTTGACATAATTCTTCAGGTATCCCTGGGAGCTTTTTTTTATTTAAAAAATTACTAATTTTACAATAACGAATTAGTTAATTTTTTATTTAAAAAAAGTCTTTTGACTTCCAAGTATTACGAGAAATTGAAAAATAAGAAGAAATAAAAATCTTCCAGGGTTACCTGGATCAGATTTAACAAATACATTTTAATTTGTTTGTTTAAAAAGATTTTGTTGAGAATTACAGCGTACACAGCAAAACAACTTTTTTGGAGGAGCCTGATAAGATTCTCATTCATTCGTTAATTCTCAATATTTTGCCATGAAAATTTGGAAAAATATTGTTCAATTTGTGCAATATTGTATGAAAATTGATAAAATAAATTAACTCTCTCTGTATCGCCAAAAAAAATCATAAAAATATGCATTCTCTTCACCCAATTAACCTTACCCCCCTTTAATTTTAACTGCAGTAACTTTTATAGTAATATATTACTATAAATTTATAATTTCTATGTTTTAAATGTACATTGAAAAAAATGGTTTTGACACCTACTACAGAACTTTGTAGAAAAAGAATTGGAAACCACTCTGGTAGAAAATATTACATCGAAAATTAAATGTATTTAAATTTTTGACTCTCATAATACCTTGTAAAACCTTGTTAAAACATTTTAAGAAAATATTGTAAAACCTGTACGAACCTTATAAAAAATAGAACAAATCCCTGCTACAATCCCTCTTGAAAACTATTAGAAACCTAAGGGTGGCAGCGTTTTGCGCTTTGTAACTAGGTCATAAGTGCAAATATAGCGAACATACATCCCAGTAAAAAAAATTCGATACACGGACCGCGGAGTTCGTATACAAGCTCGGTAGCTCGTATGAGAAATATGAGAAAACTCTCATACGAGCCTTTTCCGTAATGAGAAGTGTATATAGATGCTTGTATACGAGGTGACTTTTAAAGCATTTTTCTTAATATAACACTATTTTAAAGTAAATGTAGATAATAGAAATGAATTTTCAAAGTAAAACGAAGCTAAATTTATAAAGGAAATGAAGTTTTAAGAAAAAAAGGATAATTTTGTTCAAAGAATTTATTCACACTGAAAAAAGGTTAGAATTTGATAATTGTTACTCTAACTTACCGACATTAGATATTTCTCGGATGCGGTAAGCACGATTTTGTATTGGCGGTAGAATAAATAAGTTTTTTTCATTACTAATTAATAATATATTACTATTTATTTATTATATAAATGTTCTTATATAAAATAATTAAATTTAATACAAAATCTGCTTACCGTATACGAGAAATATCTAATGTCGGTTAGTTAGAGAAACAAGGAATTATCAAATTCTAACCTTTTTTCAGTGTGAATAAATTTTTTGAACAAAATTATCCTTTTTTTCTTAAAACTTCATTTCCTTTATAAATTTAGCTTTGTTTTACTTTGAAAATTCATTTTTATTATCTACATTTACTTTAAAATAGTGTTATATTAAGAAAAAAGCTTTAAAAGTCACCTCGTATACAAGCATCTATACACTTCTCATTACGGAAAAGGCTCGTATGAGAGTTTTCTCATATTTCTCATACGAGCTACCGAGCTCGTATACGAACTCCGCGGTCCGTGTATCGAATTTTTTTTACTGGGATATATGAGACTCCGGATCTTAAAAGTGCACTTTTACTATTTAAAATCAATGCTGAAAGTGCCCTTTTAAGATCCGGAGCTTCATATCTCCATCTCTCTTACGCTTATTACCTAGTTACAAAATACAACACAAAACACTGTTAGGGGCCGTCCATAAACCACGTGGACACATTTGGGGGGGCGGGGGGGTGAATCAAAAGTCCACGTTTGTCCACGAAGGGGAGGGGGGGTGTTAAAGCAAATGTCAACGTGGACATATAATCAAAGATATTTCCAAAAAAGATATCTTAAGCTTAATCAGAATGATCATAAGTTTCAGTTAATCAATTTCCCTGACAATTTACTGATATTAAAATTAATTTCCCTGACAAAATTCTTTTTACAGGAAAATATGAATGTTTACGGAAAATGAGTAAAATTTATAATTTTAATTATTTTTTAAAATGACAATTATAACCCTTCCTGAATTCAATTATTTTCTACAATTCCCACCCAGTAAAAAAAAAGTATTGGAAGAGAGCGAATAGTATTGTCGGTGAGTTTCTGCCAATACGGTTTTCACGCGAAAACATATTGGCAGAAACTCACCGCCAATACTATTCGCTCTCTTCCAATACTTTTTTTTACTGGGCAACTAAACCTTCGTCTTTAAATCAATTAATTTAAATAATTTTCCGAAAGTTCTTCTAAAATTCTGTTATATTTTAAAATTATTTTTGAATTTGATTGATAAATTTTAATTAAAAATTTTTAACATGATTGTTTCCTCTAAAATGTTAAAAATAATTTTAAAATGTTATTTTTTTGTATATATTTGAATTTTTGAAAATATGTAATTGAGAATATTGAATTTTAAAAAATTAGAAGCTAATTTTCATTAATTTTCATTTTTAAATTTACCTTTAAAGATTTTTTATTCTACAAAAATTGTAACGAAAGACTTAAAATAAATTAATTATTTTCAATTAAATTTTACAAAATTTCAACTATTCAAAAAGATTTGTTTATACAGGGTGGCCATTTTTTTGTAAAAAAAAATTCACGGTCATTTCCTGGTCATAAATTATTTTCCCGGTCATAAATAATAACTCTGAAAATAAATTATTCCATGAAAGATTGAAAGAATTTCCTGATTTTTAGACAAAACTTTGACTTTTTCCTAAAACCTAAAAATATTTTAGTTTACTCTAAAAATAATTTTGAACTTAAATAGATTTTTTGAAATAAATATTTAATTATTATCCATTATTTTTCCATATAGTAGGTATTCAAATTTAAAAAAAATTCAAATTTTAAATCCTTTAAATTTGAATAATTTTTAAGAATTGCTACTGTAACTTATTAACAATTATTTTCAAAATTTCAATTCAATTATATTCTAGAAATAACTAAAATATTTCTAAAATCCACTTGTTTACAAGACAATTTCATGAAATTTTGAATAATTTAAAAATTTTTCAATTAAATATTAGGTACATATTTAAAAACATAACTAATTTGAAAAAAATGTGAATAAAAATATTTTTAAAAACTGACTTATTCAGAATTTTTAATTAAAATCTTTTAAAATTCAACTTTTCTAAAACTTAAATTTGAAATTTTTTAAAATTCAATCTATAATAATTATTAATTTAACATTCTAAAATACAGAAAAGTTTGCTTATCAATAATTGCAAAAAAAACTAATTGATATTAATGCAAAATACGATTTTTTAAAAATTTATTTTCTAAAGAAAGAAATTTTATTTATTTTTATATACATTATTTATTATTCTAAAATTAATTTTTATAAATTTCGTATCACTTTTGTTCTAATTAGTTCAAATTTTTAATAATTCTTATTTGTTTTGTTATAATATTATTGCAAACAAATTTTTAAATTGATTTATTTTTCACTATTCTATACGATGTGAAATTTTTTCTCATTGAAATTTTTTTGACAAGTTTAATTAAAATTATATTTTGTTTAATTATTGTTAGAAATAGAAAGAATTTAAAATTAAATTTAATATTTTCTTTTTCTAAATCTGTTACGTTGGACAGCAAAATTCATAATTTTCTTATAAATTCTAGAAATTGAATATTTTTATAGTACTTTTTATAAAATTCTCTGACAAAATATAAATAGATTTTATAGAAGATCGTTCAATCTTTTTTAATGAAATATAGTTAATACCTAAGTCTTGAAATAAATATTTTTATTTTTTCTCACAAAATAATGTGTGTTTTTAAAAAAAAATCCAAAATCCCGGTCAAGTTCAAAATTCATTGTCAAATCCCGGTTTTCCCGGTTTCCCGGTCCAGCTATAATTTATAGTTATTTTTCACATTATAAAAATCAAAATAACTTGTACTTTTTTTTTACTAAAAATTGTGGTATTTTGTCGCAATTATTTTAAATGAGTCGAAAAAAGTCACAATTTTCTTAATTTCCCCGACAAAATTTTTTCCTGACATTTCCCTTACTTTACTGACATTCTTGCTTTGAAATATGTTCAAAAATAATCTTTTTTATTTTTTAACATACAGGAGTAAAAAAAACTTATTTTTTTAATTTGCAATATCCACGTGGACAATTGTATAGGGGGGAGGGGGTTTGACAAATGTCCACGACTGTCCACAACGGGGGGCGGGGGGGTCAAAAATTGGTGAAAAATTGTCCACGTGGTTTATGGACGGCCCCTTATGTGACTCCAGCCAAAGTCTAAAAAATTCCTAAATTTTGTTAAGGTAGATTTTTAGCATCGCACTGCCGTGCTACAAAGACACGTTTTTTCTCCATGTAAGTGGACTGTTTCAAGGATGTACTGTATTTAATTCTACTGATAGTATAAGATACCTCGGTGGAAGATAATTTTGTTATAAAGAAAACTTCAAAACAATTGATGGTATTTTTGTTTCAAGAGGTGGCAGCACGTGGAAACCTACTGTTACACCCATTGGCTCCACTCTTCCTTCTCCAACGCCATCTATACCAGCAACTAACGTTTCTCCAGTAACAAAGACTTCTTTAGTATCGAAGAAAATCGATGAACCACTTATCGGAAGCGGTCACAATTTCAGTCCCAAGCCTTTTGTAAGTATCGAGGTATTACACAAAAAATTTTTAACAAAGAGCAATAATCTCAAAAAACCTTCTCCCTTCGGATTCTAGTTGAACGGTACTGGTGAAGGTTCAATAAAGTCCATAGTCAATAAACAGTACAACAGTCCCGTGGGCATTTATAGCGAAGAAACTATCGCTGAAACTCTTTCTGCACAAGCCGAAGTTTTAGCTGGAGGTGTTTTAGGGTGAGTTCTTTGAAAAGTAATTTTAGCAGATAATTTCTATAAAAAATTTCTTTTCTTAATTACTATGCTTATGTGGCATTCTACGTGTAGTGATCCGGGTTCAAATTTGAAATGCTTGGGATCAGGACATAAGTTTGCACAAACAGTAGTCCTTTTGGATGCCATTGAAAACACCAAATATTATTCATTTATAACAAATGTAAAAACTAGAGGTGGTCATACATAGTTTAAACTTTTTGTCTTACCTGGCATATTTCTAAAAAAATGTATAGGTCAAAACGTGGGAAAAGAACTTTTAACTGGTCTAATTATATTTTTTAACTTATGTATAGGTATAAATAATATACATGTAAAATTAAGAATAAGATTACATGAATTGAATTAATAAATCTTGAATCAATTGATCAATCTTGGAAAAGAAGTTTGAACTTTTTCTAATAAGTCGATATGGCCCATAAAAAGTTCAAACTTCTTTTTAGGGTTTCGTGGCCAAGGGCCAAAACCCTTATAGCGAGACTTCGGTGTCCGTCCGTAGTTCTTAAGTTTTAAGTTTTAAGTCTTATGTATTAAGTCTTATGTCTTAAGTCTTATGTCTTATGTCTTAAGACAACATAACAACCGTTGTCATGGCATCCGTTGCTATGTTAATGGTTGCTATAACAACCGTTGTTATGTTAATGGTTATATTGACATAACAACCGTTGTCGTGGCAACCGTTGATATAGTATAGATTGCCATAACAACCGCTGCCATGGCAACGGTTTTTTTGTCATTTTAGGCCACGAAACCCTATGATGTAGGCGCATTGCGCCTACTTCTCTGACTGATTTTTTTTAAAAAGAGTTCTGTCCTTACCAATGAACATACCTAATTGGGCGGTTAGACTTGAGATGGGAGCTCTTCGACCACTTCAACTTGAGCATAAGGTCTTGAAATACACTCTAAACTGGATCCTACACTGAAAAAAATACATGAGACATTTTCAACTACATCCCCTTAGTAGAGTAAAAAGTAATAAAACGAACTACTTTTTTAGTTAGTCTGGCTACTTTTTATACTTATTTTAACTGTTTTATGTACTTAAAAATTATTAATTAAATTAATGTAATTTTACAGTTAACTTTGTAACTGCAGGTATGTTATAGAAATGACTACAGAAAGTAGTAGATTCTACTACTTAAAGTAGTTCGATAGACTAATTTTGTAGTAGTTTTTACTTCTTCTAGGAGTTGAATTATTTTCCATGTAATTTATGTTATAGATTTTTATAGAAGATTATCAACTGTGAAAAGTTGTAAATGCAACTACTTTAAGTAGTAAAATTAACTACAGTTATCAGTTGAACTGTGTCTGGAATGCCTATAAGTATTAAGCAACTCATCGAAGCGGGCGAGCGTGGTTAGGTGGTTAGGTTATCGGTTTACGAATGTTTGGGTCGAGCGTTCAACTCCCGACGTTTAGAGATTTTTCTCCGTTAGGTATATAGACATTAAATAAATAAGGTATAGGTAAACAAAAGTGGGTAGGGGGAAATATAAAAAAATACAACTCGATAATATTTATAATAAATTATAAATAATTTTATTTTACCATTTTCAGTAGTTACTTTATTACTGAGTTATCTTAGTAACTTTAACTACACGGAGAAACTTTTTCTTCTAATATTAAATATATTTGGTTATCTTTATTCTAAAAGTACGTTAGAATGTGAGGATTTTTCGTGCGTTGTGCTAATAATTTCAACATTAATACGAAAATATGATAAGTTCGTTATATATTAAGCAACCTTCGGTGTACAAAAATTACTATCTGCATTAGAAATAGTCTTATTTTTCTTTAGAAAAGAATAAAATGCTAGTTTTTGTTTGTGAAATAATACGGTAATTCTAACCTTTTTTCCACATATAGATAGAATATATAACAGACATTCTAACGTAACATACCAATTTTGGAAGGACTGCGGGCGGACTTAACCGATTTCGCCCGAGCATCACCGAGTCCATCACCTGACGTCGCGAACTAACCCTAATGTTTTCGAAGTTGAAATTCACACGTGTATGAAAGAAAAAAACCTTTTATTAATAAACGTGAATGTCTCCTCATGCCAAATTAAATTCAAGAACTGTTCCTCAATATAACATAATTTTTTTCACGACTTTTACTTATTTACATAATTTGATTAGTAAGTTATTTTAAAAAATGCTCTCTCTCGAAGGCACATATTTTTCCACTCGTTTAATATATAAGGACGATTCAGCTGTGTACTTCTAACGAATCGTGCGATCTTTCGGTTTCCGTGACCAATCGTCGTGTCTTTACTTGCGTGTGCGTGTGTGCGTTAATAATATAGGTTAGGTTCTTACGTCGTGTTAAATATATTTACCTACAGTTACAGTGACATACACTAATGCCATCTACCATCAGATCCAAGTATCACTATCATCTCTATGAGTATCTATAGACAATTAATTTGTTGTGTTTCTTTTTAATTCATGGCTTTCCCAACTTTGCAAAAATTATTATTTTCTTTCTAAAACAACATACTAATTTTCGTTAGTTTCCTTATGAAGAACTGTAAAATATATACTGAATGAGTGTTTTTGATAGTCTCAATAGCAATTTCTATAACCTATGTCGTTTTTCCCTTGAATCTAACCTAACATACTAAAATGTCTCACCAGTTTTAAGAATTAGTGGTATTAAAAGTTTCTCCGTGTACATATCAGCAGTTAATTCTACTGCAAAACTGTCATTGGTTCCTATTTAACTAAGAAAAGTAGTTAATGCAACTGTATTATCACTTCATTCAACTACATATCTGATAATTAATGTAAGTTCAAAATTATCTTTGGGGACTTATTGAACTAAGGAAAGTAGTTAAAAAGTAGTCAAATCTACTAAGAATTTTTTTCAGTGTACACGGAGAAAAAGGAATAGTTGACACATCCAGATACATGGATATCACAGCTATATTATATTGAAAAATACAGGATATCCATAGTTAAGGTTGCTGCGTCCATATTCTATGGCTGGCTATATATTGTTGGAATAGCAAAAGATCTATGGTTGGGTGATCCATAGTAATGGAAATGGGAAACGAAAAATTTGAATCACTCAATTAGTTAAATTCAATGTCACTTGAGATATTTTATACACATTTTTGTTAATTAATACACACCACTTATTGAATAACCGCATATTAACGAAATAAATTATTAACCGATGGGGGGAGACACGAACCCTAGACCTAACGCATACTAAACACTAACGCTATCCACTACACTATACACACAACTACAATATTTGAGCATATAATATTCCTTATATACTCTACACATATTTCATGAAAATGAATTTACATAAAAACTAATAGACAATAACGATAATAAATAATAAACAATTATAACACTATTTATACACAATAAACTCACAACGTGATTATATAGACGTGACAGGAAACCGAAGCCCAACCATGCCTATGGATGTCACATCCATATTTGATTCAACAATATAATATGGCTCCCTCATCCATTGAATATGGAATGTGCTTCCATTCTGAAAGTTGTCTCTTCCATTGAATTGGATAACACAACAATATTCTGCTCAACAATATTTTTATGGATATCTCTTCCAGACCTTTTCTTTCCGTGTAAGGATCTCTCGCATGAACAGTTCTAGATACCCCAGACCGTGTTTCGAAAGACTTAGAGCTCTATCGATGTATCGGAATATCGCACCGAAAGACTTTTCGTTTCAAAATTTAATATAATGTATGTATATGTTCCTTGCCAATCTTTAGTATGAACCATATTAATACGTTGATTAATACGTTGATACGTTCATACACGGAAAAAAAAGGTCTGGAAGAGATATCCATAAAAATATTGTTGAGCAGAATATTGTTGTGTTATCCAATTCAATGGAAGAGACAACTTTCAGAATGGAAGCACATTCCATATTCAATGGATGAGGGAGCCATATTATATTGTTGAATCAAATATGGATGTGACATCCATAGGCATAGTTGGGCTTACAATTCATGCTATGGATTTTCACATATGGCTGTCTCATCCATATAAACTTTGGTTGGGAGATCCATAGTTAGTTCAAAATTTCGATACATGTTGCGCGCAATTCATTATCATGGCATCCATTTAAAAATGGTCGTCTCAATTTGTCCGTCGCTTCGGTTTCCTGTCACGTCTATATAATCACGTTGTGAGTTTATTGTGTATAAATAGTGTTATAATTGTTTATTATTTATTATCGTTATTGTCTATTAGTTTTTATGTAAATTCATTTTCATGAAATATGTGTAGAGTATATAAGGAATATTATGAGCTCAAATATTGTAGTTGTGTGTATAGTGTAGTGGATAGCGTTAGTGTTTAGTATGCGTTAGGTCTAGGGTTCGTGTCTCCCCCCATCGGTTAATAATTTATTTCGTTAATATGCGGTTATTCAATAAGTGGTGTGTATTAATTAACAAAAATGTGTATAAAATATCTCAAGTGACATTGAATTTAATTAATTGAGTGATTCCAATTTTTTGTTTCCCATTCCCATTACTATGGATCACCCAACCATAGATGTTTTGCTGCTCCAGCAATATACAGCCAGCCATAGAATATGGATGCAGCAACCTTAACTATGGATATCCCGTATTTTTCAATATAATATGGCTGTGATATCCATGTATCTGGATGTGTCAACTATTCCTTTTTCTCCGTGTACGATTAAGTAACATAAAAACATTGTTTGTCCCTGTTTGAAATGATCATACTAACTTTTGAAACTCAAAGTCTTTCAGTGCGGTTTAACTGCTTCACTCGGTTGAGAGTTTCTTTTTTCGAACCACAAGGCATGATCGATTGTTGGCAAGATCTGACTGTGGACTCAATTGCAAGCCTTAGAAAACCATGTCCTAGAGGGTTGCAAGGTTATTTCTTTAATATGCGGTTATTAAATAAGTGATGTGTATTAAATACAAAAAATGTGTATAAAATATCTTAAGTGACATGGAATTTAATTAATTGAGTGATTCCAATTTTTTTGTTTCCCATTTCCATTACTATGAATCACCCAACCATAGATCTTTTGCTGCTCCAACAATATAGAGCCAGCCATAGAATATGAATGCAGCAACCTTAACTATGGATATCCCGTATTTTTCAATATAATATGGCTGTGATATCCATGTATCTGGATGTGTCAACTGTTCCTTTCTCTCCGTGTATTACATGGTCTATTTTCATTGTTGTAGATATAATTTGATGTTAGTTTATCAAGTCCAATAATTAAAATATAAAATATTTTCACGCATGTTCGGGGCTACCCGACAAATTGTTGAAGGTTGGGATTTTAATACTCATAATTTTCCTTATTTCTTTCCTCAAAGGTTTGTTTATTTTACAAATGAATTTATGCTACAGATTGAAAGAAGCATTCTGTTTGACATACAAATATTTTTATTAACAACCAAAAAATATGGAAATAAATTATTATTTACCTAGAAGCTTAAGTGTCCGGGGATACACAAATCTCCCCTAAGTGCATTTTCCTATAAACAAATTTTGTGTTCAATTCTTTTAACGCAATTCCTGCAGCTATTTTTAATCAGTTTTTTTCAGAACTTTTTTATCTCATTTGTTTAATTCTTTTAACGTAATTCCTTCAGCTTTTGTTTAATCAGTTCTTTTCAAAACTTTTTTATCTCATTTGTTTAATTCTTTTAAAATCCTGCAGCTTTTTTCAATCAGTTCTTTTCAGAACTGAATTACAATAAAATAATAACTTTTCAATTGTAATAAATATAGAAAGAAATAATTAATTGACCAGTGAAAAGTTCTTGTCCCTTGTTTTAACTTATACATTTAATTTGTTGTAAATAAAAAAAAGAGATACGTATTTTTTTATTATAATTTTAATAAATATTTAATGGTGCCTCAATGTACGTCAAATTTTACAAAAAACCCTTTTTTGGAAATTTTTTATAAAATATTCGAACACCAATATTTTTTGACCGGACTACTTTACTTTTCTTCAGATATATTCAAGAAAGAACATGTAATTAATTATTTAAAAAATTGTTCTTGTTTACTATATTTAATAAAACCTCAAATACTCCATAAATGCAAAACAATGTAATATATTAAAAAATTGCTTATTATGAACAGGTCTACGTTATGAATATAGTTCTAATAATATATCTCATATACGTTCTATTGTCTTACTTATTTCATTCTTAAATGACTTTTGGTATAAATGAGTCTGCGTTTTTTGTGGTTAAAAGAATTTATGTTATTATTTAAATGTAGAGCGAAGTTAATTTGAGTTAGCATTTTTGATCCATGATGTCAAGTGAAGAAGTTTTTCTGGTTGGAGTTATCGACAATCAAATTATAGGTAGTAAATTGCCATCAAAGCGAAATTGTCTAAGTGTTTTATTTTACAACATGAGAGTTTCTCAAATGAACCAGCGTGATAGTGCCGCTCTTGTCATTGAAAACAAAAATTTTAATTACCAAGAAAGAAAAAGTGAAGTTGAGGACAAGAAAGAGATTTCAAGAGATGAAGAAGATCTTACAGGTAAGTTAATAAACGAAATAAATTAATAATTTTATGATTTTGCAAATTAGAGTTTGATATAAATTTTTCTTTGTTAGAAGATCAAGAAATAGTTTCTACTTTGAAATCGATTAATTTAAATGAGGATGAGCTTTTGGACAAGAGCAATTCGAGTCTTGAATCGGATGCAACATCAACTTTTTCACTTTCATTCAAACCGAAAAGAGGAACGCGACATATTTTAACTGAAAGACTTTGTGCTGCATTCGACAAGTGTAAAGTTAGTGACAGAGATGTTGCTCACATTTTAATGGCTTGCGTAATTGCTCTTGATTTAGATCCGAGTGAATTTATTATAAATCGATCATCAATTAAAAGAAAAAGAGAAGAATTTCGTAAAGAAAGTGCAATCAAAACACAGAATGAATTTATGAATTCAAATACAGAGTTTGTTGTTGTTCACTGGGATTCCAAGATTTTACCCGATTTAAGTGGAAAAGAATCTGTAGACCGCCTTCCTGTAATTGTAATGTCTCAGGATAAAGAACAATTGCTTGGAGTGCCTAAATTATCTTCTGCAACAGGAGAAGAAGTAGCTTGTGCTGTTTATGAAATATTAATGCAATGGTCGTTAGAGAATAAAATCCAAGCATTAGTTTTTGATACGACGGCTTCTAATTCTGGTCGTTTAAATGGTGCTTGTGTTCTTCTAGAGCAAAAACTAAATAGAGATATTCTCTTTTTAGCTTATAGACATCACATCTACGAAATCATGCTTGCGAGTGTTTTCGAAGAACCAAAACTTTCTTTTCAGACTGGCCCAGACATTCAAATTTTTAAAAAATTTCAAAAAATTGGACAAAAATCGATAAAACTAAATATTCTACTTGGAATTCAGACAATGATGTATGTCAAACATTACGTGACGTTAAAGAAGATGTTCTCTCCTTTGCCACAGGAACCACCAAAATTTCAAAAAAATCTATTATTCTGAATTGACTTCACAAAAATATGAAACGCGCATTCAAAAGAATCAGAATCTACAGCAAATCAGTAGAAATTTCTATTCCACTGAATTGACTCACTACCACTCAAGATTCCACAAGAAAGTGAGGTTAGGTTTCAAAATTTGACGTTAAACATTGAACACATTAAAATTCCTTTCAGTAAGAGCATTTTATATTTTATCGTAAGCACTTTGTGTTTTTTAACCATATTTTCACTAGTTTTAATATTTAATTTTAATAGTTTAGCACTGAAATTACAATGAAATTCACACGACGCGAAACATAACTGTCACTGCGTTTTATTTTAAGACAATAATTAGAGGAGCTCCTACAGACAATTGGAAATATTAGGCTTTTCCAAATTGTTTGTCAAAAGTTGTATTCATTTTAATGCGCTTCTGAAATTCGAAGCAGTCTTTTGAGAAGAATAAATATTTCAGATTTACTCGTCGAACATTCTATTCTTTTGAATTGACTACCTAGAATCGTTAGCAGTCAATTCAAAAGAATAGAACTTCATATTTTTTTCAAGAACTTGCAATACCATAAAACTTTGCGCATTAGGAAAAATAGAAAATTTGAATTCTTTTCTATCTCCCGATCGACGAGAGCAATAGAGAAGAATTGATTTTTCTAAAATTTTGATGGTTCCCGAGGAATAGAGCTTCGAGGTAAATTCGCGTATTCAGAATAATTCAAAATTCTCGTTTTCAAGCATATATTCTGAAAATTGAATTCTTTTCTATTCTACGCTTCTTACCGGGTAGTTATCATTTTCTTAGGAGAAATCCCACCAAATGGTATTCGATTTAAATGTCCTGGAGCTTATCACAGAGCAAGATGGATGGCGAAGGCTATTTATTGCTTGAAAATATTTTTATTTAGGGAACAGTTCCAGATAAATAAACATGAAAAAAAGCGATAAATGAAATTTGTTGCTTTGTGATTACATGTTACATTCAAGCATGGTTTTGTACAACAAATGCTATTGAAGCTCCATTGACTGATTTCAAATTTTTGCAAAGCTTAGAAATGTATAAGAAACATAACAAAATAATTGCCGAGAAAGTACAAAAGAAATTTTTAAATCATTTGTGGTATTTAAACGAAGAATGTGCTGCAATGTGCTTGTTTGATGACAGACTTGATAATCAGAAAAGAAAATGCATTGCTAATAAAATCATAGAAAACGAAACTGATGAAGACTGTAATATCGAAATTCAAAAAAAGAAAATGTTGTCATTCAAAGAACTTGATTTATTTCTTAAGTCAGATTTTCCAGAAAATCTAATTACAAGTGGATCAAAACAGCTGTTTCAGAGATTTAACATTCCCACAGATTTTTTATATCAAGATCCTTCGTTATGGAAAAATCACGAAAGCTATTTGAAAGGACGTAGAATTTTCGCATGTCTGAAAGTAGTAAATGATGTAGCAGAGCGTGGTGTAAAACTCATAGAAGATTTTAATAGCAATTTTACTAAAAATGAAGATCAAAAACAGTATTTACTACAGGTATTTACTTATCTGAATTATAATATATTTAATATTAATTCACTATATTAACTGTACTTCTGTGCATTATATAGGGGAGAGTAGGCTACATTGAACCAGCGTCAACAGTGAACCACTTCAATTTTCTGAGAAATGACTGAGTAAAATTTTTTCCTATTCAATATATAAGTTAGTTTTACCAAAGCAGACTATGTCCAAAAATTTCCGGCACGTAGGTTTATTATTTACAAAGGAAAACTAAAAAAAACTGTTTTTCACGTACAAAACAAAAAATTTTGTGGAATTATAATGAAGTTTTTTTATTGAAATAGGAAGTTTTAAAAATTAGTTAACTTGTGATTTATTTCGCTTAGGGTGTCAACTTCAATATTTCGATGTGATAAAGAATTTTAAACTTTACATAAATTTATTATAAACCATTTTTGTTGTGAATGTCATGTGTATACAGTGAGTGCAACATGATTAAACCACCCGAAAAAGCAAAGAATTTTCAATTTTAAGAGTGGTTAAGTTGTCTGCTCTACTAATTAGTAAGAAAAATACTGGAAGACATGCTTTCATTACAATTGAGTGCTTGGATACAACAAGGAGACGTACGCTCGGCGAGCCGCTTTAAAGTCAGTCAAAGGTACCGTAAAGTGTAAAAAATGAAAATTCAAAATTTTGAATTTTGAAAACTGCCATCTTATAGGAAATAAAAATGCGCATCTTTTTTTTCTTTGAAATTTCTTTGAATAATTAATATTTTTATATGATAATGGAAAAAATGTGATTAATTTTCAATGTTAAATTTCATTGAATTTTAAAATATAAATCGTCGTATCTCCGACAAAAATGAATGAATTCTTTTGATTTTTGGTATACAAATGCATTTGGACCTATAGAAGACGACAATATCACGAAAATGTTAAAAGCAATTAATTGTTTATTGATTTTTAATTGTTAATACTGACCGGTCAAAAATAATTTTTTCTTATCTTTGGCTGCAAAAAGTATGCGGGGAACTTTAAAATTCAAACAACTTCCAGTGAGACATTTGTTTATTACGATGTGAAGAAGTTTTCTGTAAAATTGCAGAAAGATTAGTTTTATATTTACAGAAATACAATAGTTTTAAGAAAAATGCTCGCGCCGCCAACGATCCCTACCGCACAGATTTTAAGGTTAGTTGCACAGTAAAGTTTTATTTATATATAAATATATATGTGTAATATTTGCATTGAATTATTTATTAACTATTACATACTATGTATACAACATAGGTATAAACTTTTTTAATAATTTTGTAAAACATTATGTGTATGAATATAAATATTACAAATAATTCTAGCAGTATTTAATTAAATTAAGATTAATATCTGTGTTAAAAGAAATGTTTTTATTTTAAACATTATTAAATTTATAAAACGTTTTTAGATGTTAATATTATTGTTTAAAAACTAGGAAAAATTTTTATTTTAAACAATTTTTGACAATTGTGATATTTTGAACTATTATATTTTAATAGATATTATTAGATTATACTAGATTCAACATAGTATGTAATTAAAAAGGACATTAAGTGTTGTTGCAGCATATTGAGTAATAGTTTTAATACATTATAGAGTCGATAAAAATTGAGTTGTAAATAAACGATATACTAACAAAAATAAATATCAGAAATAATCTTAATTTAATTAAATATTGCTAGAATTATTTGTAATATTTTTATTCATACACATAATATTTTACAAAATTATTAAAAAAGTGTATACCTATGTTGTATAGTATGTAATAGTTAATAAATAATTCAATGCAAATATTACACACATATATTTATACATAAATAAAACTTTACCGTGCAACTAACCTTAAAATCTGTGCGGTAGGGATCGTTGGCGGCGCGAGCATTTTTCTTAAAACTATTGTATTTCTGTAAATATAAAACTAATCTTTCTGCAATTTTACAGAAAACTTCTTCACATCGTAATAAACAAATGTCTCACTGGAAGTTGTTTGAATTTTAAAGTTCCCCGCATACTTTTTGCAGCCAAAGATAAGAAAAAATTATTTTTGACCGGTCAGTATTAACAATTAAAAATCAATAAACAATTAATTGCTTTTAACATTTTCGTGATATTGTCGTCTTCTATAGGTCCAAATGCATTTGTATACCAAAAATCAAAAGAATTCATTCATTTTTGTCGGAGATACAACGATTTATATTTTAAAATTCAATGAAATTTAACATTGAAAATTAATCACATTTTTTCCATTATCATATAAAAATATTAATTATTCAAAGAAATTTCAAAGAAAAAAAAGATGCGCATTTTTATTTCCTATAAGATGGCAGTTTTCAAAATTCAAAATTTTGAATTTTCATTTTTTACACTTTACGGTACCTTTAACTGACTTTAAAGCGGCTCGCCGAGCGTACGTCCCCTTGTTGTATCCAAGCACTCAATTGTGAACGAGATAAATTTAAACTGTCACTTTTGCTACCTAACCTGACATCGAAATATATTAATCTCCTATATTAACAAGTAATAACAATTAAATAACAATTTTCTATTTTTTTGAGTGGAAAACAAGATTTTTTTACAATGTGCAAGTGGAAATATTATTTTTGAAGTAAATTGTAGTGTTTTATTAGAGGTGGTTCAATGTAGACACACATCCTTCAAAATAAGAAAAGTGTAACTGGTTAGAAAAAAATTAAATTTCATTATTTAATCATAATAATTTGAGTATTAACTAAAGGAGTACTTCAGTTTTATTTTTATACAAAAACCTGATCAAAATTTGTAAAATTTAATCAGTTCTTGGACTTTATAAAAAACCTGGTTCAATGTAGCCTACTCTCCCCTATTAGAAAGGAGAACTATTATACAGTTATATTTATTTCTTTTTAAATTCTTGGTACAAAATTCGTTTTCAGGTTGTCCAGAAATATCGAAAAAGGTTTCCCAGTTACAATAAGTCAGCTTTGAAAGATTAGAAATTTAAACAAAACAAAGAAAAAAAATAACAACAATAACAGATAATATTTTTAGTATTCAATAAATTATTCAGCTTATGTAAGCCTTGAATATAAATAATTCAACCAATTGTGAAAAAATATTTCACATTAAATTAAAACCAGTTAATCTTTTAGTTATTTTGACAATGTAAATTTGTAAAATTATAAGAGCATGTTGTATCTCTTAGAACATTTCGAAAATTGTTTACAAAAAACAATATTTTGTTTAAGTAATTATTAAAATCATTACATATATTCGATAGCTAGCCTTTAATATTAATTGGTAAAATTTTTATAGGAGAGAGTCTCCAGTTGTGAGACACCTCCAGTTGTGAGACAGTCAATTTTTTTTAACATGCAATATTAAAAAGACGATTGGTTTATATAAAAACATTTCTTTTTATATAAGCCAACTTTTTCGTGTACGCCGAAGCGGATATATAAACTGTTTTTGTTAAATACCAACACTGTGTGTGATAATCGACTAAAAAGCGTTTTTTCAATAAATGCAAAGTACTTTTTTTCCAAGTTAATTAATTGGAAAAGGTAAATGTAATGCATTTTCTGTTAGTGTTTTCCTTATATTTTGTGATGCAATATTGCATTGTTCCAATCTACGGTTGAAAATAATTTAATTTTCCTTTTTCAAAATAGCGCTAATTTCTGGGTGTGAGACACAGCATATCACCAGTTGTGAGACGGTGTCAACACCCATCTGGGCAGCATAAAAAATACGACTTTGCAGGCATACTATTTAAATGTTGTTTTGATTTTTTGTCTAGTATTTTGGGCATGTCAAGTGGAAAAAAGTCAATTGATTCAGAAGAAATCAATTTTAATGCTCTTGTTGAAGCTATTAAATTGTGTTTATTTCATAGTCATATTTTGGCGAATAAATATTATTATATAGTATATAATAATATATATTATTAATATATTTAATTATTTCTACTAAACATAACGTTTTATGTCAAACTTATTAAATTTTAGCAATTTTTAATGAGTGTCTCACAACTGGAGACATTTTTTTTTTGACAAAAGCGATGTGCTCGGAAAATGTATCGTAAAATTTTTTGAGTTCATCGAAACACTGTACTTTCTTTTAATAAAAGTTGCGTATTTCTGTTACCTTTCGAACGGTGTATTTTATTTACAATTTCGTTTACCCGTTTACAATTTACGGGTCAAAAATGAAACCCGTCTCACAACTGGAGACTCTCCCCTTTATAATGAAATTAATTTATTTATGCAGCTGCCTAGATATCTACTAAGAATATTAATATGAAATTATGATATTTTGTTTAATAAGTTATTTACAAAATTGTATCACAATTAATATTTGTTCATAAAAATTTTGAGCAATTTAGCATTTACTTTAAGAATGGTTTTCTTATTGTTCAATAAGTGTTAAAATAGTTGAAAATTAACAATTATAATTTGTTTAAAGAATTTTGAATAGTTATGTAAATACAAATAAAAATACTTTTTTAGCTAAGAAGAGCAAATTCTACTAAAGAAATCAAGAACAGATAAATAATAAGCAATTTTTCAATGTATTACATTGTTTTTTTATTTAGAGGGTATTTGAGGTCTTATGAAAAATAGTTAACAATAAGAAATTTTTAGAAATATTATTGCTTGTTTTTTATTGAATATTTCTGAAGAAAACTAGAGTGGTCTGGTCAAAAAATATTGACTTGCAGGCAAACCTTTCGTTAATATGTCCCTAACAAAAAATTGTATTTAACGTTTATATGCTTTAATATACGATGTTCCCAATTGTGAAGCTAATGAATCACAATTGGCTTTGAGAACACAATTGGCTTTATCTTAAAGTCACCAAACAAGTTTTTAACCACTCTAATTCCATCTAAGCACTGACAAGAGCTACGTACTCCGCCCCGGTGAGAACAAAACTACCGTAGTTTGTTTCCTGATTTAGAAAAATTCCTTCCTTGCTCTTCTGAATTTTGATTTCAAGAAAGTAGTGAAGCTCTCCCAGATCATTCGAATGAAAAACGCAACTCATCAAATACAACATCTCTTCCAGTTAACACTTTCCATACGTCCGAACACCAGAGACGATATCTATTAGGACAGTATCCATGCATAAAACATTGCTTAGTCTGAGTATCGAATTTCCCAGAATTTATTTCCTTTGGAAAATGCAAAAATGCTACTTCATTCAAATACTTTGAGTTTTCCGAAATTAGGCTTCTCTCCATACCACATTTCCGCTGGTGGTACTTTATTGTTCAACGCACTAGTAGGACTTCGATTGATGAGACCGCGCCGACTCCGACCAAAACATTTTGATCAATTTTGAATTTAACAGCATTCACCGAGCTTTCTTGATAATCGTTCTGTTCATGCTCTCAGGAACAGCGTTTTGCTAAGGGGTGTACCGAATCGTGAGTGCGAATTAAATTTCATGTTCCTCAAAGTGATGTTTTATTTCATTTGAGACATACTCACCGCCATTGTCACATCTAAAACGACTAATCTTTAAGTTGAAATGAGATGTTACCACAGCTTCACAGAGAAAAACTGAACTCAAAATGAGTCGTAAAAGTGACTCATTATGAGCTGCATCAAAAATGAACCTCGCAGATGGCGCCACGTTCTATGTCATTTAACATAGACTCATTTTGAGTTGCAACAAAAATGAGTCCGATTTTTTTCTGTGTTCATACATTTTGAAATATCGAAACACTTCAGACTTGACAAGTTAAATATATGCAACTGTAAAATGAGTATAGTCATCAATAAATGTCAGCACATTTCTATTGCTGTAATGCTATTCAACATTAATTGAACCAAGTAATTTAGTTAATTAATTAATTAATTAATTTAGTTCTATTTTTTTTTAATTATTTAAATCACTGTGTACTCTTTGCAAAAGACTATGAGTCTTAGTTCTTTCCTGCTGATGAGCTTGCTGTGTCTGTTTTCCTTCAATGCATTCTTGACAGATTTTAGAGATACCCAAACATCTATGCCACATTTCAGCGTTTCCAAGTGATGAAAACAATTTGATATTTGCTTTCTGTCATATTTTCGATGAGCAACAGCAACGATTTTATTTACCGTAAGACTTAAACCCTTACCATCTACAAAAAGACTTTTAAAACCATTCATGTCTAATTTTCAAATAGACAACAAATTTTTTAACTCCGGAACTAACAAAACATTTTTAATAAATATTTATTGTCTCTTAACATTATCAACAATTGATGAAAATCTAATATCTCTAGTTATTGTTGATTCAAGAATTTGTCCGGTTTTTGCTACTTTAATTTTAACTGATTCATTCAACATTCTAATATTAATTAAAAAATCATCTTTGCTCACCATGTGTTCAGAAATACCTGAATCCAAATATCAAGTTATACAATCAGACTTGTTACCTTCCAAAACATATTTACTGTTTGTTTACAATTTCACAACTTGGACATAAACAAAAAATATGGAAACTCTAGATTACAAAATATTTGTTTGCTTATTTTTATTTTTGTTTATTTTCACCTAATGTTTTTAAATTTCTGAAATGATAGTCAATTCTAGATTTTAGTCATAGTCAACGCATAAAAATATATCGAAAAACACAAAAATTGTAAAACATATTAACCAATGTAGACTTAAGTAATATAATAATATAAGGTAATATTTACTGCATTATCTCATTCTAGGGTCAATTTTAAGAAAAACGAAAAGAATTATAATGCTGAGAATAGTGAAGTCTTTAAGATGGTCCAAGAGGCGGATAAGGAACCAAAATCACCTGAACCTGGTTAGTTACAAATTTTCCAATAACAAATTTTTATTTTATAGGATATTTTAATTATTTTTTTCATTTAGCCTCCTAGTCTTTCATAATTAAACATTTGTAAACTTTAACTAAATTGGTGTGAAAACTCTTTCGTAAGTAATCGCAAGCACGTCGATGGCCTCTTTTGAAAATATAGTTGACCTACCAGTACAAAGCGGAGCAGTATCACCCCCATGTCCAGCAATAGCGGGTTTAAGACCAGTCACGGCGCCAGAAACAAAACTACAACCAACAACTCCTCAGTCAAGTTTGCCTCCAGGACAGAACATATGTGCCGACTGTGAGAGACTTATTGTGTAAGTCCATCATTGAGTGAGCCAAGCAAGTGAAGTTCCTGGCTCTGAACAACGTCTACAACATCAACAAAGACATACAAAATTTTAAATTATCTTAAGTAATAGACTGAGATAATAGCTAATTTCATTTGAAGACCAAGAAAAGTCTAAAAATTACTTTTTTCTGAGAATTAGGTGGAATTAGATAATATTTTATGGGAATTTAGTAAATTCCTCTCAAGTTTTAAATATTAGTTATAATAGATCGAAGTTCAACATTTCTTTCGTTACTTTAGTTCATTCACGGACGAAGATTTACTCCTCGGCGAGCCACGCGGTTGGCGGAGAAGCAACTATACCGAATTCAGCGACATCTCTAAATCAATCACTGGGTCTGCGTCAGACAATTTTAAATTACCACAAAAGCTTTTCACTTCAAGAAATTCAGAAGAAAGAGCGACAACAAGAATATTCATCCTCTTCGTTTACTTCTTCTGATTCACCTACTTGTTACAACTGTGACAATGGGATTGTGTAACTATATAGCTAAATGAAACAAATAATCGTCTTTTAATTTCTTCTATATTTTTAGTTACTTTTAATTACACATAACATCTAAAAATTTTCAATAAAAATTCAAGATGTTCCTTCAAAATGATCGATTAAATGAATTTTTCAAAAGTAGTATTCGCATCATTATCTGAATAAACAGGACATCAGATTGAAGAAAAAAGATTCTGAAGATATGTGTCTAATTCTCTTGCATTTTGCACAAACTAGGAGAATTTTATAGTTATTTTACAGTACAGTAAAATTATCTTTTAGAACATTATTTTTAATCGAAATTAAATCCATTCAATAGTGTAATTATTAGTTCAAATCACACTGTCAATTAAATTGCCAAAATGACTCAAGGATGTTGCATTCTTGGCTTAGAACGGATATTGTTCTTCAGCCAAAAGGAAGTGGAATCGAAAATTTTTATCGATGCACCTGTCAATTTTAGCAACATAAACAATGGATAATAACCTTGTCTGTAAATACATCCTTGAATTATTTTTCTTTGCTCTAAATCCCTGTTTTTAATTTTCCGGCTATTGATGTTGGAAACTAATTTTTCTCACACTTTTTCTCGTAAACTCAAAATCTTTGATTTTGCTTTCTGGAAAAATACACTGAATTGTTTCGATTTACTTATAATAAGTGTCAACTACAGTTTTTCTTACTTCATTCTTCCTCCTTGTCGTTTCTTAGAAATTTTATTATATGAAATTCTTTTCTCGATGTATAAGGCGTTGTTCTTGGCTACAGGAGTTTTAAATCGCTTTCTATCTATATTATTTCAGGGTTCCTACAGAACCTTTTTCATTCAAATATTGGAAAAGGCATGAAATTTTATAAAGTTTTTACTGCATTCAAATTTTAAATTAATTTAAATTCCATGAAAATTATATTCAAAATTTAACTGGAATTATTTAAAAAATGACCTGTGAAGCATGGAATTTTGAATTAAGTTTTTTGTAGGAACCCTGTATTTATTTTTTGTTGACTGTTTCGAAAATTTCCATTAATTAAAAATAATTAATGGCTTTCTTTGTTTTTTAAGCACTGGACACTTCTTAATTTTGTTTATTTTACAGAGGTGTCTTCGTCAGAATTAAGGACAAGAATTTACACGTGGACTGTTTTAAGTGTTCAACTTGCGGCACATCACTGAAAAATGTTGGGTACTACAATATTAATGAGAAACTCTATTGCGATATACATGCGAAAATGGTAGCTAGGCAACAAGCACCATCTGGACTTTCACCAGTCACTGTATCTTCGTAAGTAAATAAATTTTTTAATATTTTTAAGTGACTATAATAAATTACTAAATTAGTAACATATAGGGTCAACAAAGCACCAGCAGGAACCATATCAGCAGCACTCTCTAACATTGGGCCTCTTTCACCATCTCTCAGCAATCATGGATCATCACCACAACTTTACCCGGTTAGTTTTTTTTAAAGTGATTTTTTAAATCTTGATACAAGAGTAGAAGTATGGCTACTTTGTAACTTTTATTGAACTTTAACATATTGAAAGGCTCGCTTCAATTCTTTATTTTTGCCACATGAGTGTCAGAAAGAATTCAGATAAAAATTTAAAAAGTAAAAATGAAAGATTCTAGAAATCAAGTCTGTTTATTAATATTAACACTGTGTGTTTTGTGCGCTACTAATCGCTTTTACAGACATGCTATCAACTCAACTCCGACCCAAGGCTATCATACCAAGTCGAGTCAAAGAGTAATGGCTACTCAGGACATAACGAGAGCAATGGAACATCGACAACTTACACGAGCACCATAACCATCCAGACTGGTGTCAATGAGGTCTGCAATGTCGACGGCGAGCTCGACTATAATCGTAATCCTACTAACTCTAAAGCACGCCTGAAATCAGACCAAGTCGATGAATTCCAGTTTGACCCTTTCATTTCAGAGGACAAAAGTTTCAAAAATGATTCATACAATACTCAGAAGTCCAGTTATTCCCACTTGGACAAGGTGAATAACATAGTAGATATAACTTCACTAAGGTCAAACCTTGAATTCTTTTCTCATTAAATGTTTTAGAATTTGCACATTTTCTAATATTTAGAAACTTCCAGGAAATATTTATCTTCATTCTCAAAATATACTCCATTTTCTAATCCCCAAATACAGTTTTACTGTCTTACTTCTTCTACCTTTAATTTCTTTTATAGTCACGGTTTTCGTCTAAACAGAAAACTCGTCGTACATTTTTAACATTACTCATAGTACTTCTATAAAATGAATTTTTAAATCATATTCAATTTCCTCATTCTTTCCATTTTAAGGCAGACTATTCATCGGTTTAACTTTAATCATCACAGTTGTTAATCCCTAGAAAGAACATTTGTTTAATGCATGACTAATTACATTTTGCTTGCATTCCTCTGTCGAAATTATAGTTATGCGTGGCACGTGACCATTGTGTATCATCTGTTTTGCAGCCCACCCATCTTGGCACAACAACCGTTGATTCGCCTAGCTTACGTCCAGTCCAGGTAACGTCTTCGTTCGATCAATACCATTCATCTAATCCGTCTTCGGACACGCAGTTCAACTTCGGTACGCAATTATCAAAAGATAGTTAATAGTGTGATCTCAACTAGATTTTCCTTCATCCAATTTAAAGAAACTCATTGAGTTTGTGTGCATTTAGCTTGAAATGTTGTGAAACTAGTGCAATGTATCATAGTCGTGAATTAAAATAATCTGGAACAGAAGACAAATGTTTTTCAAATTCAGACGAAGAAGAATTTTATTCCTTTTACTTTCTAAGCGGAAAATTGACTTATTTAATGTGCGAAGTTGAACGAAATTTAATATACCATAAAATATTACTAATTCAGTGATCTTTTCATCAGGCTCCAACATCTAACAACATCGGAGGCGCAAAACTTTACGGAGGGTCCAGCATTAACACACCAACGTACAATTCCGCAAGTTGCACTCTTCCACGACAACAGAGTCATAACGTGACTGGTGAGTCAAGTATTATATAAGCAATATTATGAACCTCTTATTTTTTATGACAGTGGTTTAAGTTGAGTATTTTAAAACTTTTAAGAATGGCGAAATACTTCATCTATTATTCTTTAAAATTATGTATTTTTACGACTTTTATTCATATTTCAAACTAAAATAAACTTAACCTTGAATCCGATTCTTGTGAATAGGTCGGTTATACACCACCTTGCCAAAGCCAAAAAGTTCCTCCTTCAAAGGTATGCTGATAGATTGGAGCTAATTGACCGTGCCAAATCGCTTTGGCTTTTTTTCACTTGTCCTATAAACGTCAGTCTCATTTTTGTTATCGCAAGTGCGATTGATTACATTAATTCCTAGCTTTTTTATTTTATCTGTTAGAGTCGGTTTGGTTTTCCTTTTTTATTATCATTTCTTAATTCAAAAATGTCGGTGACGATTCGCAATTGGTACGTTGAGAGCTGCCAGCCGCGATGGTCTCGACTCAAATAAACTTCTTCGAATTTAAATTCCAATCAATCTACCTTATATTAATTTCTAATACCATTATTTATTTCTTTTAAGATCACTACTAGAACAAGTTCTCATGTAATTTCTGAATTTTAGGTTAAACATGACCTAATAAACTATTTTCAATTTTCTTTGATTTGAAATTCGTGACATTTTCTTTCAATCATACTTACAAATTCACTCTATAATTCGTATTTCTTAATCTCTTTTTTCAGCTCCTTCATCTTTCAACCCAAAACCAAGACCCTTTTCCCTCTCCTTCGCGTGAGCATGGTAGCTCTCAACTGTTTTCTCCGAATTATACGAATTAGATTTGTAATTCTTAAAAATTATTCAGACTCATTTTTGCAAGGACCAAAATAAATATTTGAATTTAAAATAAAAAAGACGACATACATTTTTTATCAATTCTTTCAATGCTCATTTCCTTCACGGCACATTGCAGCTACCAATGCATATTTATTATCGCAAATTGTTCGCGCTTAAACTTTTTCTAATCATGCAGTTTGCAGTTTTTTGATTCAACAATGCAAATAATTCGAAGGAGTGTAATTCCTCTTATAATGAAATTTATCATAAACCACTAAGTTTTAAATTTAGGTTATAAGATTTTTTTGGAAATAATTTTATAAATTTTTTTGCTAATTATAGTTTTCTGCAAATCACCCATGGCCACTAAAACTTTTTAAAATACATATAGTGTCCATGAGTGATTATCGATTAACATGCTTCTACTGACACGAATTTTCTCTGTTTTTCTTTGTTCTTTGTAATTCGTCTAACATCTCTTTTCTTGCTTACAAAATGCATGACATGTGTGTATGTTAATTTAACTTCCTTGTTCCCAATCTATTTCCTTCGAGACTGTACAGAAGCTTACGAAGAGGACTCATACGAATTCTCTGAGGAGGTGACACAATTTGTTATCGAAAAACCGCCAACTCCAAAACCAAAATCACACGTCTGGCCGCCACAACGGCCAATTGAGGAAATAACTTATCCGACTGCGAGTCCTTTATATATTGATCCCAATCCTGCACTTGATCGACGTGCAAAACAAAACCTTCACGAGAGACGATCAAGTATTGAAGATAGTAGTAGAGATCAGAGTAGAAGAAACAGTTTTGCAGAAAATTTTGAGGAGTCCAGAGTTTTCTGTCAGTTTGAGACGAAGATGGACCAGGTTAGTTGTCCTGGACCAGTTTATCGACGAGTGGAATTATTTAAAGAAGCACGAAAAGATTGTCGACAAACACGTTGCGATTCGAGGGAAGGTTCAACTGATGGTGTTCGAAGATCTTTGACGCCAACACGTATCACTCAGCCTATTCCTCGACCATGGACAGCCACTGTCACTACAGGTGCAAATTTATACCAACAGGCATATCCAGTTAATCCGCCTGAACCACCGAAACCAGTTTGTAGTCGAACTGTTTGCAGACGTCAAATATGTCGACGGGAATGTGTTTGCGATGGAGAAAGCGGAACGCAGACGACCTATGAGGAAAGACGCGACTATCAAGAGCAAATTTGTCAACCAGAAGAAAGAGTTGAGACTCCAAAACCAGATGTGGAAGTGCACGCATGTGTCCGTTTGCCGAATTCTCATTCTCGAACAAAGGATATTAATTCAGATTCGGAAATTAGAGATTTATCGAAACTTGTTCCACCAGATGTGGCCGTATGTCCAAAGGGAATAGATGGTGAGCATGATCTTTATACAGAAATGGAGGAAGAGGATGTTGGTAACCTACATATTAAAAAGACGACAACTTATGAAAAGACAGTGGAATTAGTTTCCCCAGATAGAGAAATAAAATCTAGTGCAGAGCCAGAACCTAAGCCTCAAGTGGAGAAAAGACATTGGGAACAAACTTGTCAAAGATCATCAACTGTCGATCGGGAAGTGGAAAATATTTCATGTCATCGAAATATAGAGGAATCGACGGAAATGTTGACATCTACAATTGACATGCAACAAATGATGGAGCAAGCTAAAAGAGATGAGGAAGAAGCACAAAGGAGAAAAGAGGAATATGAGAGAAATGAAAAAGAAGAGAGGGAAAGAAAACAACGCGAAGAAGAAGAAAGGAAACAAATGGCAGCTCAGGAACGTAAGCGGAGGCAAGATGAAGAGAGACGTCTAGAACAGCAGAGACAAGAGGCAGAACGTTCTCGCCAAGAAGAGGGAGAGAAACGACAGAAAAGAGTTTGCTTCAGTGAAGAGCGTGAGTTTATTTGTGAACATACTTGCTGTCCTAAGGAACGAATAATTGATATTCAATTAGAAGGTCCAAAGGAACACATAATTGATATTGATGTAGAAGGACGACCTAAGGAACACATTATAGATGTTAAACTTGAGCAGGATGAACCCTGCTGTCAATGTCGGGAGGAACGTTTTAAAGAGTTAAGAGAGGAAATCAACATTCAAAAAAATTTTGAACAACAAGATCTAGAGGCACAAAGACGAAGAAGTTTGCGTGAACAAGTACAAGTTCATAAGAGTTTGAGAGATCAACAAGCTCCAGAAAAACACCAAACTCTTCAAGAACGACGTCTTTGTACCAAGTATGGTCCGAAGACGCAAGAATCGCAAAGTACTGTAGAATCTTGCAGGAAACAAGTACAGTTTATCAGTCAAACTGAAAGCGGACCAGGACCAATTCCATCTTGCAATGTTCAAAATACTATCCCCAAAGAATGGAAATCTGAAATGGTGAAAGCTTTAACTACAGCACCAGATCAGTCTTTTTGTTCACTTGGTAACGATAACAATGTCAGTAAGGAAATTTATACTTCCCAAGTTACATACAAAGAAACTTCTCAGTGTAATTGCGAACCTTCATTACCACCAGCTCCTTGTCCATATAGACCTGTTTCCCCATTTCAGTCTGCCTTAACAACTGCACCAGAAAGAGCATACTCACCACTAGGTGGAAATGTCAATCCTTGCAAAACTTGCTGTCGCCGATCACAAACCCCTACTGCTCCTTCTGCTAATGACGGTTACTGTGCACCTGCTCAACTTCTATTCAGTGAAAATAAAGAAATAGTTCAAGAGCGAAAAAAGCCGCAAGGACCACAACCTTTGCCAATTCCTCCATCGGACTATCGTTTAAGAGATTCTTCAAGATCACCTTCCAGATCTAGACCAGGAACCCCAGGGAATCGCTCAATGATGACGGGCCTTAAAAAACCGGATACTATCCCTCTGTATCAGAAACATTTAGTTGCTATGAAAAATGGACCGGTAGAAGGTAACATGTTCGATCCCAGCAGAACTCCAACTCCATGTTCAAGATCTAAATCTCCTGCGCCAAAAACGGAACAAGAATGTGTTTGTTACCACTACGAAGAAGATACCCCCTCAGGACATACACATAAAGATATTCAATGCACTAAATGTGTTAGCTATTCAGAAGACGAAGAAGGTACACATACTCATATACGTGAACGGAAAGTTCAAAAAATAACGGAAAGTCCAGCTTCTCCAGTATGTTGTGTCAGCCGAAACAGTAGTGTTTCCCCTTCCCTGCCCTGTCCGTCTAATCGCGAAAGCGTCTCTGAAAGAATTCAAAGACAAGGAGTTAGAGTGCTACCTCCTTGTAACACGACATCATCATCAACCGAAGTTCGTCGAATTCGTCACGAAATTGTCGAAACTCCTCCTAAATTATGTCCAAATACTGGTGTCACTGTTGTACCTTGCAGAACAGTTTCTGAAAGCGGTTCAAAGACCGGAGTGGTTGTTCTTTCCTGTGACGGTTCGCAATCATCATCATGCGACAGATCCGGAGTCTGTGTAACGCCTACCATGGACAGACAAGGAGTCTGCGTATCTCCGGCTGCACATAATTCTGATACAAGTTGCAAACAACCCTCTGGTGTCTGTGGAGTGCGTTCCGGTGGTTGTAGCATTGATGCAGGTACATGCAGTGGATCAGGAGTTTGTGTAACTCCTTGCGGGGATGGATCCTTTTGCGTGGCACCATGCAGCGTCTCAGGAATGTCTGCTTCTCAATGTACGAAGTCAATTCTAAAAAGTCAATGTGACAAAAATATTCCTTTTCCACAGATTCCTTTACCCAACGAAGAGGCTCCAAGTTTCTGCAGTAGTTGTCCTTTTTCACAAACTGAGAAGCCTGATGCTTGCAGCAGCTTTGAATCTAAACCTAAGCCTCGCACTAATCTAAGCAATCAGCTTACGCAACTTACCCTGAACAGAATAAAACCCCCCACTGTTCAGTTGTACAAACCACAAGCTCAAATCTGTACAATCAAATCCCAGTCGATCCAAACTCAATCCTTGTGTCAATCCAAAACTCAGTCTTCTTACCAATCCGCACCCCGTTGCCCAATTGGAAAACCCCAAAATTTAGTAGACCCACCAAAAATGTCATCCCAACCGAATTTAGGTGCTGGAGTCGGTGGAATTTGCAGCAATAAGAGTGGATCTTTTGCTGGAAGCAGTGCTCCTAAACGCGGAAAGGGAATTCTAAATCAAGCTGGAGGAAGTGGATCTCGTGTCCCACAATGTGCTCGCTGCAATAACTACGTCAGGTACTGGACCAGTCTTGAGTTGTGGAATTGCTGTGACCTCGTGAACTTGCCATAACTTTGTAACTGTTATAAGCAAAATTATTAATACAATTTACATTCATAATGCTTGGTTCTTAATTATACTAGCTACTATTTGGACAACTATAAATAGAAAGCTTGAAAATTAGATTTTATGTTTTGACCTTAATGTTTTTCATGTATTGTTTCCTTAATGAAACATATGTATGATTTTACTAACAATTTGTTTTGTTGCATGATGTTTGCAGCTATTGAAGATAATACTAATCTACAAACGAATGGACAGGCTTTAATACCGGTGTGTTGCCATTGTAAAATACAGATAAGAAGGTTTGTATTTTTAAAATATCGGGAAAAAATAGCATTTTTATCTATATGAACTTTGTCTAAAAGAAGTTTTTAGTATTAGATAATTTCGTATAAACTGACATTTTTGATAAAAAAATTCGGACAAAATAGTCATTAAGTGACAAAATATTCAATTATCAAATGATAATTGCAAAAATAAAATAACTCAATATTCAGACAAATAAAATTTTGTTCAAGTAGAATGTCGGATATTTTATAAATATAAAAACAAAAATGTGAACAAATGAAATTTCGGATAAATAACACCCCTCATGAATTATGGTAAAACCGAAAATATCAATCGCCTCTATGGGTAGTAAGGCAGTGCTAGGGAGCAAAGAAGGGGGCGAATTTATTTTTGGTGGTCTTTTTCGGTTTTAGCACCCCAAAAAACATAAGAATAGACACCGTATTCGACTTTTCGTGAAAATTGAAATTTCAACCCCTTCCCGGGGATATTAGGAGGATTCTAGTGGGTAAATTAAAAATCGATCTTCTGTTACAGTTTTTAATATTTTTCAACGAAAATTTTTTTTCCATACTTATTTTACAATTATAAACAACTTCTCGCATGGATTTGCAATAATATGCAATAGGTCAAAAGAAAAAAATTCTAACCTCTTCCAAAATTAAAATTAAATACTTTTGACCATCTTATATGTTTTCAGGTTAAAAATGATGCAAGAAAAAAAGATTACCTCATTTAATAATTTCATTTTAAAGGTGTCATAATAAAAGTGGGGTCACCCCTTAAATGATTTAGTGAAAGAAAACCTTAAATATAAATTAAAAATAACGATACTCATGTTGTATACGTAGTATCAAAACAAATATAGCAGTAGTACTCCTCTTATTTTGCACAAAAGACCATGGATACTGCTTGAGAATGTCTGTTTTAAATTTATGTTTATGTTTTAATTTCAATGCCAACCTAGCACAATATATTGTAAACTCGCAAAGGTAAGACACAACAGTCCGCCATTTGGAAAGCTTATATATAAAGCTTCTGTTAAACTTACACGGTAAGTTTGTTGTAAGCTCGATTGGTAAAGCTTTGGTAACTTTATTATTATGTGGTAAGGTTGAAGTAAGGTTGTGGTAAGTTTGCTGTGATACTGAGCTAAATAAGGAACAATCAGAGAGAAAATTTACCTCCTTAAAAAGTAGGTGGCCTTATTGTCTCCACTTTAAGAGCAACATTAATTTTTTCTTTTTCAGTTCTTTATTTAACCTTGGTTAGTTGATTAGGATTCTAGTTGTATGAGAGTCGATCGTGGGTTCAAACATAATCTTTTCGAATTTGTTTTCGAAATTTTGTGCGAAAAGTTAGCTTTTTAAAATGGAGTAGGGAAAAGTCTTTAAACTTTAATATTTATTTATTATTAATAATATAAATTATTTTATTTTCATAGACTGTGACGAACCAACTTCGTCACAATTTATCCTTGTGGGGATAAAACATAAAATACTCTAGACAAATGTACCCTAACATAAGATGTTTATAAATAAGGCCAATTCGAACCTTACTTCGGTTGAATTAACAAAAGGGTAAAAATTAAATATAACGTAAGTCCACATTTAATGTCATTAACTTCCTTGGCATTCGTGTTTCACAATATTTATGAAGACACTCAAAAGATAAAGTGTCCGACCTCAATGAACTCGGATCACGCCATTCTCAAAAATGCAAACACTGCAAAATGCACTGGTCAATGACCAAGTGTTATTAAAAAATGTCGATTTCCCCACCCGATCTTCGGTGTACGAAACAGATCAAACGCTGGAAATCGAGGAGTTGGTTTTGGACTTTTTTAAAGGAACGACCATAGAAAAGTATCGTTTAGTTTGAGACCTGAATAAATAGGTCGTTTGTTTTGTAGAGAAGGCAAAGTCGGAATTTATAAAAAGTGAAACACAAAGTCAAGCTGTTTAGTGATATTAAAGGATATACTAGTGGAAATTAAATTGGTTCTAAAAAAAGGAATAAAAAAACCGGAGTAAGTTGAACTTACTAAGAATAAACACATGTAATAAAAACACAACACACACAATACACTTCCACTAAGAGTAATATTAAATAAAATACAAATAAAGATAATATTTGAGTAAACAAAGATTTAATACTAATTGATAAAGATCGTTTTAAAGGACATAGATAAATTTGGGGAAAATATATTTTTATGTAACACGATTTAACTTAAAATATAATAAAACAAGTTGTTCATTTCATGATCATTAAGCTTTCTCAATATAATATATACCAATTGTTTAATTTTTTATTTTAGAATAATTATTTTAAAGTGTTAAGATAAAATGTCAAAAAATACAAAATTTCAATTTTTTGTAAAAATTTAAAATATTTATTAATTCTATAAATTTTGATAAAATATATACTTTATATACATGAATCGATTCGTTTTTATGTCAGGAATGCAATTTTGACAAGAATTAATAAAAATTTTAATATAGAAAAAAGTTATTTCAAAAAATCCAAAAATTAATTTTTTCAAAAATTAAAAAATTGTTGAAAAAAATTTTTTTTTAGATATTTTTGAAAATCCTTTTGTCTGATTTTTGGTATTCGTGACCGTAATACACCTACAAAATTTTATGAAAATCCGTCAAGACGTGTAAGAGAAAATTTGTCCACAAGAATCGGTGACATACACACACACACACACACATACATACACACATACATCCGGACATTTGTTCCTCTCGACGAATTATGTATACTACACTTGAAAATTTGTAAAAATAATTGGTTCTAAAAAATTCGGAAATCGACATCACTATAAGGCTTCCTTTATGAGGAAGCAAAAATATAATAAAATAATAATAAATAATATAATAATAATAATATAATAATATAATAATAAATAATAATAAATAATAATAATAATAATATATAATAAATATAATATTGTTATATAGTAATTTGTATTTATTTAACAATCCTTTATTTCCTAAATTGACACTCCGCCTTAGAAATAGGGATTCTCAACCCACAAGCTGAATTAATATCTGTTAGGAGGGGGATCCTTTACCAAACGGGTTTAAGGATTTCAGATTTTTATCCGTGTAAAATTCCTTTAAATTATTTTATTGTAACGATTAATTTATTGTCAATAATTAATTCGTTTATCACAATTGGTGACAGCGGTGGGATTCGAACCCACGCCTCCGAAGAGAAATGCCACTAATTGTAATAAACGAATTAATTATTAACAATAATTTAACCGTTACAATAAAAGAATTTAAAGGGATGTTACACGGATAAAAATCTGAAACCCTTAAACCCGTTTGGTAACGGATCCCCCCCTCCTAACAGACTATTAATTCAGCCTGTGGGGTGAGAATCCCTATTTCTAAGGCGGAGTGTCAATTTAGGAAATAAAGGTTTGTTAAATAACTAAAACAAAAGTTATGCTAATGAACAAAATATATAATTGTATTAATTCAAAGTTTCCCGTGCATAAAAGGAGGCGTCTCCCAAATTTTACTTTACTCTTTATTCAAACAATAACAAACTTTATTTTGAGTCAATTCTGACGCAATTTATCTTACAAGAATTATGTGTTTAGTGTAGCGTGTTGTAGTCTTATATGACATAAAATACAATTCGACTTACTATGGTTGCTCCTCAATTTAAGGGGCACACCTAGTGCGAGTGACTGAAAAAAACGGTGATTTTTAGGAATTTTTTTTAGGGAAATTATTGCATCTAATTTTTTTTTAAAGTTTTGTACATGTATATTTGTATAAATAGTGAACATTTTGTAATTTTTTTAAAGAAAAATATCTTTTTTTTAAAAAGTTATTCGCTATCTCCTGAGTATCCGAAAAAAAAGTTCTCCCACTGCCGCAGTGATTGCGGCCTTCTCAGTGACCTAAATCAAAAAAACCAAAAAGATTATTAAACTAGAAGATATTTGCCGTACAATGACCCTCGGACGAAAAAAAATATTGAATTGCAACAAAATGGCGGAGTTTTGAAAAAAGCTTATAAATTTCGCCTAAAAAATCCGATAGTTTTTGGCATCCCAAAATTTTATTTTTTATCCAAAAAAAATCTGGAGCCTCATAGTATGGCAAATATTTTCTAGTTTAATAATCTTTTTGGTTTTTTTGATTTCAGTCACTCAGAAGGCCGCAATAACTGCAGTAGTGGAGAAACTGGTTTTTTTGGATATAGCGAATAACTCTTTAAAAAAAAGATATTTTTCTTTGCAAAAATTACAAAATGTTCACTATTTATACAAATATACATGTACAAAACTTTAAAAAAAATTAGATGCAATAATTTCCCTTAAAAAAATTTCTAAAAATCGACGTTTTTTTTAGTCACTCACACTAGGTGTGCCCCTTAATCCTTAATATTTTCTTAAATTCCACTTATATTTTTCTCTCTGTTTAGAATATTACACTCCACTTTAACTTCCAGAATTTTCCTTAATTGCCTTGACTTTACATATATCTTGATCTACTTTGACTCAACTTTAACTTTAGTTTCCACTTTACTACTTATAAGGAATCTCTTTTCTATCAAACAAACAACCTATTTATTTCAGGTTTCTAACTGAATAACCTTTCTGACGAACTTCCCTAAAGAAAGTCTAAAACCAACTCCTCGATTTCCACCGTTTGATCTGTTTCATACACTGAAGATCGGGTGGGGAAATCGACATTTTTTAATAAGACTTGGACATTGACCAGTGCATTTTGCAGTGTTTGCATTTTTGAGAATGGTGTGATCCGAGTTCATTGAGCTCGGACACTTTATCCTTTGAGTGTCTTCATAAATATTGTGAAACACGAATGCCAAGGAAGTTAATGACATCAAATGTGGACTTACGTTATATTTAATTTTTTCCCTTTTGTTAATTCAACCGAAGTAAGGTTCGAATTGGCTTTATTTATAAACATCTTATGCTAGGGTACATTTGTCTAGTGTATTTTATGTTTTATCCCTACAAGAATAAATTGTGACAAAGTTGGTTCGTCACATAGACCTTACCTATTAAATTTTTTTTACCTACTAAACTTACCTAATAAACTTACCACAACCTTACCACTTAATAATAACCTTCTACAGCTTTACCATTTAAGATTTACAACAAACTTACCATGTAAGCTTACCAAAACATTACCATACATGTTTCCCACAAGATTTACGTATAAGCTTACCACACTTTTATATGTTCTTCATATTGGAACCACCATTTTGAATTTTTAAAAACCGACATCAGATTCGTAATCACCTATTTAAAAAATTCCTAAGTAATCAATTTTTTTCAAATCTGATAAATTTAAAAAATTCCATCCGTCATTTTGAATTTCGAAACCGGACATTGGATTCGTAATTAGCAATCCCAAAAATTACCGAGTAACGAGTTTTATGTAAATTATACAATTTTCGACAAATTTTCGAAAAATTCGTCGGCCAACAAGAGCCATCTCCTATTTTAAATTTTGAAATCCCGACATCAGATTTGTATTCTGCGATTCTAAAATATTTGGATGTCGCGTGGCAAAAAAATTTTTCTTAATTCTTAATTTCATCCACCACTATTTTTAAACCACCATATTGAAATTTTTAAAGTACGGTTTATATTAGAAATGCTTAGGTCTTGATGTCGCAATATTTCGAAGTTTTAGGCCAATTGGGTCTGACATCAGATTCGTAAATAGCGTCCCCGAAAACCCCTAAATATTAGTTTTAACCCCATTTTAAATAAAATTTTTTTTATCCCACATGCACAAAAATGGCGCTTTTAGATAGCTGACGACAGGGAGTAAAGTCACTCATTTGTTCGACCATATGAAAATGGCGTCCATTTTCTTCCATGTGCAAACATAACCGCTGATCCCATGCGTTATTTTTGCCCAAGGGAGAAAACGGCCGCCATTTTCATATAAGTCGAACAAGTGAATGACTTTTTCTCCCTGTCGTCTGCTATCTGAAATCGACACTTTTGTACATTAGGAATAAAAAATATCGTAAGTAACATGGGAATAAAGGCAGCCAATTTGTTTACGATGATTTTTGTGACACGAGTGGAGGTCGAGGGCGCCCTCGACCTCCACTCGTGTCACAAAAATCACCGTAAAAAAATGGCTGCCTTTATGCCCTTGATGCTTAATATACTATTTTTTTTAATTTTAATATTCAAAAATACAGTGGAAACCTCTCCGACATCTAAAAAGAAGAAAAAAGTTTTATTTTGTATACCTGTGTAATTCCTGTTTCAAATTCACATGTATGTTACAGTTGTAAAATTACATGTGTATTTTTAATAAGACAATAGATAACCTTAAAAATTTCGTTGATCATTTTGAAAAATTAGTTGCTGTAAGGGTAAGAATAAACGTATTCTTTTAGTGGAAATACTGCATCAGAAAATATGAACTGGAATTTATAATATGCTTGTGGAAAAAGTTACTTATCTTAATTTTTGATTTACTTACAAATTTACCACTATTTTTCAGGGGACCATTTATTACGGCTTTGGGGCAAATTTGGTGTCCTGAACATTTCGTTTGTGGAAATGCTCAATGCAACCGTGGACTGCAAGACATAGGCTTTGTAGAAGAAAAGGGACAACTTTATTGCGAATACTGTTTCGAGAAATACATTGCACCACCTTGTGACAAATGTGGAGGCAAAATCAAAGGCGTAAGTCTGCATTATATTACGCCCCAGAGTTTTTTCAAATTGCAGTTCTATGTAAATAGAAAGCATAAAACCGAAAGCAAAATTTTACAGGAGTGGAAAGGATACTGCTATATACCTGTCGCTCTTGCAACCATGAAATTGTGCTTTTGGTTTTATGTCTTCCACTCACATGGGACTACACAATTAATACATTTGAATCGATTCTGGTGGTCTTTTTCAATTATATACTTTTCTTCAATTTTTAATTGCTTTTTATTTTTTGTTGTAGCATTACGTTCCCTTACATTAGAATTTTTCCAGTAAATTTTTAAATATCCTAATTTATAATAGCAAAATCAAAAAGAATAAATAAAAATTAATAATAGATGTATTACATATAATGTTATAAATAGCATAACTAGGTGGTTAGTAATTATTAAGTAAAGTTCTAATTATAGAAATAATATTTTAATAACTAAAATAATAGTTATTAGACAGACCAACGAATCTGATGAATCCTTATAAACTCTATTTAAACTTATTTGAATAAATATTAAAAACAACTTTATAAAAAAGGGAAATAGGATTAACTGATTATCCTGATGTAAATTTTTTCAATGGGTGAGTTTATTAAAAATGGTGAAGTTTTATAATGTGTATTCGTCTTTATCAAAACAGTAGTAAATAGAATAATTATATATCGTACTGTTTTTGTTTAAATGTTTAATTTCATACACAAAACATTAAAAAAGTCTTTATTACCTGCCAAAACGTTATATAGAGTATTTCTACATATGATAGAAACATTTGTCTTGTGTTGTGAACATATACTCATTCTAAGTTAGGGAGCGTTCACACACACCTGTCTTAAATGAAAAAAAAAGTTCGTCCCCGATGACTAAAAATATTGTATGGTATATTATGAATCTTTGGACCTCAAGTAAACAAAACTTGGATAATACAAAATCATATCTGATCCTCCTGCACTATTTTTATGGGTTGAATGTTACTTAATTCATTAAAATGAAAAAATGCTTTATTACGATATTCAAATTAATTCAAGTTATTAGTGCAGTTTTTTTTTAATTACTAAATTGACATATAATTTATGTGATGCTCCACAGTGAAAACAACTTAAGAACTCTTCATGTACTGTGCACTATTAGGCTAATTGGCTAATACTCATCAAAAAATAATGTTATCATTGTAATGCATTAAATGAACATTCAAACTATGAAAAATAGTGCAGGAGGATCAGATACAGTTTTGAATCATTTAAATTTGGTTTATTTACGGTCCAAGGATTCATAATATACCACCATTATTTTTTAATAAAAATTTTTACCACCATTATTGTGTTTAAAGCAATCAATACTTAAAATTTTGCATTTTGTCAGTTCTCAATATCATTAATGTCTGTTTAGGTTTTCAATTAGAGGCCATACTTAAATTACGTAAAGCTTCAGGGGGTAGGGGGGGGGTCAAGATATTTGATACACTCAGCAAGAAAACGGCGCTAATGTATGTAAAAGTTTGTTACATGGGGAAGGGGGGGTGTCTAAAATTGCAAAAAAAGCGTTACGTAATTTAAGTATGGCCCCTTATTTACAAAGTTGATAACCTTTTTATGTGTAGGTTGATTGTAATTTATTGGCAAAATAAAATATATTTATATTCCTTTAATCTTGCTTTCAGGATTGCTTGAATGCAGTTGGAAAACATTTCCATCCTGAATGTTTCAATTGCTCTCATTGTGGCAAGTTGTTTGGAAACAGTCCCTTCTTTCTTGAAGAAGGTTTACCATACTGTGAAAACGGTAAGATTATAATTAAATATGGATATATAATATATAATTAAAAATAAAAAATAAAATTTTTTAATTTCGTGAATTCTAAAATAAAAATAAGTTTTAAAGACGTTCAAAAATAAAAATAATACTAGTAAATAATTCATGCTGGGCGAATACGTTGAAAATTCTAAATTAAGTTTAATACGATTTTTTTAGTTCTTTAGGACAAATAAATAAACGCGTCTTCTTTTATTTGGTGAAAAATTATTTTTTGGCTAAGTTATGAGGACTTGAAAATTTTTTGACAAATAGTGATTTTAAAGCTAAACGCCAATGAGACTCACTGAGACGACGGCCTTAAAAAATTCTCAGTGAAGACACTTAGCGAGACCTGACTGTATTGTTTTCAATGCTTTTTCTTAACAAAATTGAAATTCTTTTGAAAATTATAAAAATGGTGTCCATTCATAATCTTTTATTTATGAAAAACTTTAATTTATTTTATTTAACATCAATTTTAGGGTTCCGTACACCGTGGGTGTACTGACGGAACCCAATTGGTGAGACTCCTGCGTCCGTAGCCAATATCGTGCCCCCCCCCCCTAGCCTTATAAATAATAAACCTACGTGCCGGAAATTTTTGGACATAGTCTGTTTCGGTAAAACTAACTTATATATTGAATAAGAAAAAATTTCACTCAGTCATTTCTCAGAAAATTAAAGTGGTTCACTGTTGACGCTGGTTCAATGTAGCCTTTTCTCCCCTATACTAGTGTATTTTTACAGTCTGATCACAAAAAATTTATTTAAGAAAATTTTTGAAAACAAATTTTAGAATAACTTTTTTTCAGAAAAATTTTGTTTGTGTTGATTTTTAATGATCTGAATATTATTGTACGGAACCCATCATTTTAGTGCGAGTGTAACTCGCACTTGCCCAGTTTTTTTATTTTTCTGAAAATTGTATTGTGGTTACAAGATGAAAAAAATAACTTCCTCTCACAGGTTTGATTTCCTCTAAAATGTTTTGTAAATAGCTACAATTTTTTTTTCTAAAAATATCAAAACTGATTATTTTGGGTAATGTATCGCTATATATTTTTCATGTATATATTGTGATATTAATGTACCGATGGTATAGCTCGGTTGGCGGAATCTCGTGGCTTGCGATCACGGAGCGGAGGTTAAGCACATTTGAGCGCGGTTAGTGCTTGGATGGGTGACCCTCTGTGAATCGCTACAGTCTCGGTTTTTTCGCTGATCGAGATATATAAAACGGGAGGTTTGACGCCGAGGTTATGTTTGTGCATTTGTGATGGCTATCCAAATGTACATTCATGACTCGACGTCAATAAACCGGTGTTGTACTCGGGAAGTGGGTTTTCTGCAGTTTTCCTCTCCCCTGGATAAATGTCCAGGCGAATGCGAGTACTCCTAACATAAGTTGGCTGCAGCCGCAAAAGTAGGGACCCCAAAGAGTTTGTGAGTTAGAAAGGTTTAGTAGTGATGTTGAGGAGATTGTAAAGGCCCGAAACGGCATACAATGAAATCATACTTTACTTTATTGTGATATTAATAAGTTCACTGTTAGAAAATTCTGTTGTGATTTTACAGCAAAAGTACAGGAAACAATTATCTATCAAAATAATAATGTAATTTTACTTAACTGAAGTACTGTAAATTTACAACAGTATTTACTATAATTTTACAGCGAATTATTCCTTAATCACATTCAGAATTTTTTTCAAATTTATTGTCAATATTTTCTATTTTAATTAGAAATTTTCTAACTTAGTTAGATACTTAATAGTGGGCGTGGAACGGATAACTGCCTGTAGCGCATGGACGAAAGGGACTATACCAGTCAGACAATAGTGAGCGCCTCTAGGCCTCTCACTGGTATAGTTCCTTTCGGCCATACGCTACAGGCAGTTATCCGTTCCACGCCCTCAATTTTTCTCCCGCAATTTAAAAGTATTTGGTAACTAATTTTTAATTAGTTTTCCTATATTCTTTTTATTTCACAAAACATGTTTTTTTACAAAACTATTTATTTTACAAATAATAATAATAAACAGTAATAAAAATAATATAATTATATACCAGATTAAAGAAGATTAACTGAGCGGATGGGAAGAAGAACTCGCCGAGCGTGCGGTTGAAAGGGATAATATCAGTCAGGTAGCAGTTAGCGCCTCTGGGCCACACACTGCTACCTGACTGGAACTATCCCTTACAATCGCGCGCTCGGCGAGTTCTTCTTCCTATCCGCTCAACTATATTCCACATTTATAATTAAATTATTTATCCCGGGAAGTGGGCTATCGACGAAAATTACACATAAACAGATTAATTAATTAAAAAAATTCACTATTGTCTACTGTTATATAAAAATAACATTATACAAATATTTATTTTTAATTAAAAACCACACTTTTCATTGAAAACACTGTTTAAATACACAAGAAGGCTTCTACACGCGGACTTAGGTTCTTTGCCGAATGCTGAAGAGCATAATAACTAATTTCTAAGGAATTATGGAAAATTTCCGAAATAGTTTCTCTTATTTCCTTTTATCCGAGAAATTTCACAAACTTTCTGTCTAAATTAACCTATAATAAAAAAACGGGTATTTGAAAAGTCATAAAACAGAAAGTCTTGCAAGGCGAAACCCTTAGCTGACTGTCCTAACAATAAGACAAACCAGATGTGACACAAACGCCTACAAAACGAGAAAATATTTTCAGTTTAAAATGAAAATATTTGACTGTACAAAGCAGAAAATTTTATTTAAAACTTCCCAGGTAGCAATTTCAACTCTGTAATGACCAGTAACTGGGAAGTTTTTCAAGATTCTGGCCAGTGATTGACCAGAAAATCTGGCAAGTGATTGATTAGAAATGTAACGCACTGCTTTAGCAGTCACTGGTTAGATTATCTGGCCAGTGACTGACCAGTAACTGGACAGTTTTCTGCTCAAAATCTAGAATAAAATATAAGTTTTCCTGGCTCTTTTTATTTGTTTATAATTACATATTTATTTATATTTTTGTGTTTATTTAAATATTTAAGACTAATGAACAATTACTTTACCAATAACACTTAAATCTAAGAATGAAAAATTCGCACGCATGGGGGAACGAACCCTACATCCTGGAGACACAACGCATGTGCGTTACCACGCGGCCCGGCCACGGTGACTAGATAGTAACTTATCATAACTACAAGTTTAAGAACTGAAGTTCTATTCCGATTGTGACCAGAATTTCTGGCCAGTGACTTGTCAGAAGTAATGATCAGAAATCATGACCAGATAAACTGTTAAGTCACTTGTCAGAGACTTGACGGCTTATCTTGTCAAAATTTATAAAAATTTAAACTTTGGTAATGTGACAGTGAAACGATCGTAACTTTAAAAAAAAATTACTTTAGACTTTTCTGTTTTTGACCGTATGCAACATAAAAATTATTTTTAATATCTAATTATAAATGATTATGTATTTTTATGGGACAGGTACTTTGTTTTTTTCCTTAGTAACTGGTCAGTTTCTGTGTCCGCAGTTTCTTTTTTTGATAGTGTCAAGATTTTCTGGCTAGAGATATGAAAAAATCTAGAATAATTCTTTTAATAGGATTCGGCAAGTTTTTCGGATCAGTGGTGGACCACTTTTTCTAGGAGGAATCTTAAATAATTCTTCAAATCTGTGACTGGCCAGTGTCTGTAAAGAAATTCTTATCATGATTATGATCAGATTTTCTGGTCAGTGACTTGACAAAAGTACTGTTCACAAAGAGGAATTGTTTTTATCCAGTGAAACTGGCCAGTCACTTATTCAGGACTGGCCAGATTGTCTTGGCAAGTAAAACTCTCTCTTGACTCTACAGCTACTGGAAGGAAACAAGTAATAATTGACAAATTTCTACCTGGGTTATTTATTATACGTAGCTCTCATGTATAATTTTAATACACAGTCCTTTCTATTTATTTTTAAAAAATAGTAAATTGATTATTGTACTTGCAAGTAATTCGAACCTAATTTGCAATTTAATTCTTAATTTTTGTTAAAAATTTCTTGGTATTTTTAAATTTTTCCAAGTGTATTTTGTATTTAAATACAATCTATGTAGTTCCAATACATCACAGAAAAAAGTCTGAAATTATTCATAACTAAAAAGCAAATTAATTGAAAAATGTTTTTTTATTTAAACTATTTTTAAGCTTAAAAATTGATTCAGCTATAGTTTTAGGACTTAAAATCATATTCTCAAGGTTAAAATGTAGTCAAAACTAGCTATAATGTAAAAAAACCGCAGTTAAAATTAGTTATATTGGCTATATTGCTGCAAGTTTAGTTGTTGTAGTGTTGCAAAAAATTTCGTATGGCACTCGTGCGTAAATCAGATTATATACTTGTGTGACTAGCAGCACTCGCCTTCGGCTCGAGCTGCAAACGTCAAACTCGTATAATCAACGATTTTACGCACTTGTATCATAAATAACTATTATTTTATCGCTTTGCATATTATTGCAACATTTGAACAATATTTCTCTAAATTTTAATTACACTCTAACTCGCAACAGAATCATCAAAATCAAAAAAATCAAAGTATACACCGCAAATCAATTTTTTTTAGACGTCTGAGAAAAATCTCATTATCTCGCTTAATTCTTAATATTTTTTAATTAAAATTTGGAGAAATATTGTTCAAATATTGCAATATTATATGCAAAGCGATAAAATAAATTAACTTTCTGCATATCGCCAAAAAAATTCTTAAAAACATGCTTTTTTCACCGTTTAGACCTTACCCCCCTTAAGAAAATGAGTATAACAGCTACAAAGGTTCAGTGTGTCATCTTCCTTATTGATTGATTTTTTTGTAAATTAATTGTTTGACAAATTCAATGTATTAATATATATTTTCCACATTTAAGGAGTAAACTTAATATTATATTATAATACTTATAAAAGTGCAAGCAAGTTTACCTTAATATTGAAACTTAGAACATATAGGTATTGATCAATTTGTTTTTTTTTCATTTTGTTTCAGACTGGAATAATTTATTCACTACTAAATGCTATGCCTGTGGATTTCCAGTGGAAGCAGGAGACCGTTGGGTCGAGGCCCTTAATAATAATTATCACAGTCAATGCTTCAACTGCACGGTAATTTTCCCACAATTAAAATTTTTAAAAAAATTTCAAAAATAAATAGTCTCTTATCTGGTTATATTAAAAAAATGTAGGTACTTCCGAAAGCTTTAAAAATATACAATTTAATCATTTAGAAAACTTTGACAACCAGTGTCAGTTCTCTTTTGCCTAAATAAAATTTTAGATTTGAAAAAACTAAAATGTAAAATATTATAAAAACTATCTAATAATAAAATTAATTTACCATTTTTTAGATGTGCAGGAAAAATCTCGAGGGCCAAAGCTTCTACGCGAAAGGTGGACGTCCATTCTGCAAAAATCACGCGCATTAATAGGCATAGTCATTGAATTATAATTTTAACGAAACCAAAAAAACAAACAAATCCATAATAAAACTGTAAATTAATTATGATAATGCAATAAATATTTTAAGCGTAAATATCTTTACTAGCAAGCTCTAATAACGATAATAATAGTAATACTAAAATTATTAATAAAAAATAAATGAAATTGTAATTTAATAATAATTGATTGTCTTGAAGATTTTGCTCTTTTTAACGTTAAATCTAATGTCAGCGATTACTGAGAAGTAACTGTATGATTACTTTTTATAATATTTAAATAATTTAAGAATTATTGGAAAACGATTTAGAAACATGTTAATGTTCCTCTTAAAATCGTTGTGTTCTTAGACATAAATTAGTGTTGCATTCGAGAGAGTCGATACAAGAAATGTCAAACGAGTTCGAGTTTTAATTCATGAAATTCTTATTATCCTCTCGTTTCGTCTCGTTACAAAACAAGTATTAATATGATAAGAGAACAACAAAAACAATATTTATTTATTAATTTTTTTTCTATAACAATGGCGACATATGAGAATTTATAACTAATAAATTAATAACGTTAATATTATAGGTATTATTTTATTTATTACTTGCTATTATTTCATAATGTTATTCCATATATTTTTTAGGCTTACTTTGAAAAATTCATTTTTTAGAGGGTATGTTTCTTCTCATACTTTTTTGAATGGTGTCGATCTAAATGATGTTTCAATACAGACGTAATCCAATCTTGCATTTTAATGATTTCTTCCTTTTGTTTATGTTCACAAATTAAGCTTTTTCCAAATTGTATTTCATTTTGAAGAAAGTATTGAAAATAAATATTCAGAAGTTTATCTTAATTTTTTCCTTTTTCATATTGACAAGTAGACTTGGTTAAATGATTAGAAGTACTTGCTCAGGTTCTTTTCGTTTAATTATATTTACACGAGATAATAAAAAAACATCAATTCACACCAACAAACCCAAATTAGGTGAACGAGTCGCCCAATTTGGATGAGATGTTCTCCTACGATATTGAGTAAACAGGTAACTGCCACCTGTAAGCCCAAATTTGCTCAACCAAAGTCGCCTAATTGGGAGAAACGTTCACCCAAAATAAGAGCAATATTTCTATATTTTAGACATCAAGAGATAAGAATATCACAATAAAAATGTCAGATTTTGAGATTTTCAATGTTTTTTCGAACGCTATTTTTAATACTTTTTAAATTATATATAATTTATAAATTTAACATAAATAAATAAATTTATACGAATAAAACAAAACACAGACAGAGAAAATCGTTTCTCAAAAATTAGACGATCGAGCAAGAAGTCGAGCGAGTTTACCGAGAAAACTCGACTCGAATGCACTACTAAAATAAACGTCAAACCGACAGGACTGAAGATTATTATTTTATTAATATTTAAGTTTTTGATAGAAAAAACTAATTCTTTTAATTCAAGGGCATTATAATTATTTAAATTATTTTACTACAGTATTTAGAATTTTTGTCTTCAGTTTGATTTTCACACTCAAAATTACAACAATATTACAATCGATCTCAAAACTAATAAGATTCTTGAAATTATGTGAAATTCTTTAATTTATTCGATGTGAAAAATGAAAATTAAAATCGTGTAAAAAATTTGGAGATTGAGGATTAAGGAAACTACTGCACATGAGGATTAAATGTTTGACATTCAAAATGATTATTAACATTGCAGTGTTTTTAAATCATTTCTCCAAAGTATATTAAAAAATTATTTATAAAATTATAAGAAAGGGTTATGCAATTATTACTTAATAATGGATGCTTTTAGGATACTAACGAGTCCTATGATATTGCATATTATAAATATTCGGTCAATTGGTTTCAGAAAACATCTTAATTACTATTATATGTAAATATGATAAAAAAGCAATGAATTTAGCAAGGGTTATCGTTATGCACATCTTTAACCTGTTAATAAAATTTCAGTAATTGTTATTTTCGAGCAATAACGGTAACCTTTGTACATTCATGAAAAGTCAAAAAAATAAATAAAGTACTATATACTTTTTAAAGAAATTTAAGCATATCTACAAACTTAATCGATAAATAATTTACATAGATATATTGAATCACATTTATATCAATATTAATTCAATAAATACTTATATATAGAATTAATATTAATATATGACATCGTGTATCCAGTGTATTAGTATTAAGCGGACATAAATATGTTAATCAATAATAAACATTGATACTTTCATATTGCTTATTGATGTTTGATACCAATATCAAAAGCTGATACAAACTTGAAGCTAAAAGTTTTGTTTTCATTTCATGAACGTTTTGCTTCATCATGAACATTTTTATTTAATTAACATTATTATCAAACATTATTCTAATTCAACATCAACAAAACTACAAAATGTCACTTTCTTATGAACGTCAATTTCTTAAAAAATATTAATAACCTTGGCAAGAGATCAAAAGATGCGTCTCAAAACGAGCTATAAAAATGAAAGAAAAACATGTAAAGGTCGCAGAACATTTTTTAAAGTTTTAAAAAATGTCAAATTAAAATTTTTGTTCAACATTTACATATCAAAATATATACCATATGCAGTTTTTTCGTTAACAGTTAATGAGAAAAAAAACAAAAATAGACTATTTTGTTCTTTTCATGTATTCAGGTACTGTTATTAAGTGTCGATTAATCAGTAATAATTTTATATACGTGGGTGATTCTCCGCGTAGCGCAGAACTTGTTTTTTTTCATGTTGTAATGGAAAAATAATAAATAATTTTCATATATTTTTACAATTCCTACGTGAAAAGGTTATATATATGTGACGCTCCACGAGAAAAGGGACCTTATTTACTCTTGTCATAAGGTCCCTTTTCTCGTGGAGCGTCACATATGTTTAGAAACAAAAACCAATAATTACTTTTGTATCTAATATTATAATTTTTCATAAATAAGCGGTTTTAAGGCTAAAAACGTCAAAATTTTACCTGTCCCCACAGGAAGTTTAGAAAAAAAGTTAATAATTTTAGTAATATGCAATAATAAATACAATTATTATTGACATTTTAGTATCGTCTACTTTAGTACAGTTGAATAAAAAAATTTTAAAAAAAATTCATTTCATATATGTTTTTTTTCAGTTTATGCTTGACAGCAAATTTTGATGCTATTCATTATTTTATTAACAAACAGTAAATTATTTAAATGAAAATCAAATGTCAACTTAAAATTACTTTTGTAAACACAAAAAATAACTTCCTTAAGTTAATTCAGGAAAAAGAATCAATGTTCCAATTGATTTATTCATTTTTCACTCATTTTAAGTTGGAAATTTGATAAGGGAATCACAAAATAATCTCCACCGACCCTTAAATATTTTACCACAAATTAAACAATTACTTATAAAAAAGGTTAAATAAACCGATTGAAAATTAATGATACTTTTTTCAAAAAATTAAAATATCCAAAGTCGGTTGAAAAAGTTCCCAACAGCCTGAGTTTCCACCGACCTCAGAATTTCCACCGACCTTCGTATTACGAAGAGCCTAGTGCAAATGTAGTGTTATGGTGCCACATATATAAGGAATAAAAAAAACCTATAGCTCAGGAAAGTTTACCATAAATTACTTAAATAAATTTCCATAAATCACCACGAAAATTTTTATAAATTACCGCAAAAATTTCCATAAATTACCGAACTAAAAATTTTCAATTGTGATTTCTACTTTGCATATTTTTAAAAATTACCGACAAAATTTCTTTAAATTACCTTAGGGGCCGTCCATAAACCACGTGGACACATGTGGGAGGCGGGGGGGGGGGGGGTGAATCAAAAGTCCACGAAGGGGAGGGGGGGGTGTTAAAGCAAATGTCAACGTGGACACATAATCAAAGATATTTCCAAAAAAGATATCTTAAGCTTAATCAGAATGATCATAAGTTTCAGTTAATCAATTTCCCTGACAATTTACTGATATTAAAATTAATTTCCCTGACAAAATTCTTTTTACAGGAAAATATGAATGTTTACGGAAAATGAGTAAAATTTATAATTTTAATTATTTTTTAAAATGACAATTATAACCCTTCCTGAATTCAATTATTTTCTACAATTTCCACCCAGTAAAAAAAAAGTATTGGAAGAGAGCGAATAGTATTGTCGGTGAGTTTCTGCCAATACGGTTTTCACGCGAAAACATATTGGCAGAAACTCACCGCCAATACTATTCGCTCTCTTCCAATACTTTTTTTTACTGGGCAACTAAACCTTCGTCTTTGAATCAATTAATTTAAATAATTTTCCGAAAGTTCTTCTAAAATTCTGTTATATTTTAAAATTATTTTTGAATTTGATTGATAAATTTTAATTAAAAATTTTTAACATGATTGTTTCCTCTAAAATGTTAAAAATAATTTTAAAATGTTATTTTGTATATATTTGAATTTTTGAAAATATGTAATTGAGAATATTGAATTTTAAAAAATTAGAAGCTAATTTTCATTAATTTTCATTTTTAAATTTACCTTTAAAGATTTTTTATTCTACAAAAATTGTAACGAAAGACTTAAAATAAATTAATTATTTTCAATTAAATTTTACAAAATTTCAACTATTCAAAAAGATTTGTCTATACAGGGTGGCCATTTTTTTGTAAAAAAAAATTCACGGTCATTTCCCGGTCATAAATTATTTTCCCGGTCATAAATAATAACTCTGAAAATAAATTATTCCATGAAAGATTGAAAGAATTTCCTGATTTTTAGACAAAACTTTGACTTTTTCCTAAAACCTAAAAATATTTTAGTTTACTCTAAAAATAATTTTGAACTTAAATAGATTTTTTGAAATAAATATTTAATTATTATCCATTATTTTTCCATATAGTAGGTATTCAAATTTTAAAAAAATTCAAATTTTAAATCCTTTAAATTTGAATAATTTTTAAGAATTGCTACTGTAACTTATTAACAATTATTTTCAAAATTTCAATTCAATTATATTCTAGAAATAACTAAAATATTTCTAAAATCCACTTGTTTACAAGACAATTTCATGAAATTTTGAATAATTTAAAAATTTTTCAATTAAATATTAGGTACATATTTAAAAACATAACTAATTTGAAAAAAATGTGAATAAAAATATTTTTAAAAACTGACTTATTCAGAATTTTTAATTAAAATCTTTTAAAATTCAACTTTTCTAAAACTTAAATTTGAAATTTTTTAAAATTCAATCTATAATAAATATTAATTTAACATTTTAAAATACAGAAAAGTTTGCTTATCAATAATTGCAAAAAAACTAATTGATATTAATGCAAAATACGATTTTTTAAAAATTTATTTTCTAAAGAAAGAAATTTTATTTATTTTTATATACATTATTTATTATTCTAAAATTAATTTTTATAAATTTCGTATCACTTTTGTTCTAATTAGTTCAAATTTTTAATAATTCTTATTTGTTTTGTTATAATATTATTGCAAACAAATTTTTAAATTGATTTATTTTTCACTATTCTATACGATGTGAAATTTTTTCTCATTGAAATTTTTTTGACA